TGGTCATGGTGTCTCTTCACAGCAATAGAACACTGACTGAGACAGAGAGCCTCCCCTGATTATCCAACCCACACCTTCTGCAGAGTTGCCACAGCTCACCACCATACTCCATTTAAGTGGTGCTGGGGAACTCAGGGTTCTCTTGCAAGCCGGGCAACTACTCTGCCTGCTGCCGGGCAACTACTCTGCCTGCTGCTGTACACCCAGGCCAGGCTTTCGTCTTAATACCGAGCTCCTGGTGTGATTTCCCCACACTGCTGCCTCTAGCCCCGGCTTGACTGCTAAGTGAGCAAGGAAGCTTGTCCCTTGTCCCTCTCACTCCCAGTATGTTGAGTCCATGTTACCCATCAGCCTCTCTGGAGAGACCTTGCCCTTTTCTTATCCATTCTGGCCCAGGGTGCATGCCTGGCCAGATGAAATCACTAAGCCTGAATCCTAACACTTATTAGCCCTCTGACTCTGGCCCCGTTACCTAACCTCACTCTTCCCCAGCTTCCCGGTGTGATTAACTGGGAACAGGTTGAGATAACAAGTGTCTCAGTGCCTGGCTGTGTGGTAAGAACTCAGACCTGCTGTTTACTTCCTGAGCAACGTGCACCACGAATTGCAGATGCCCAGAAGACATCCTCTGGAGTGTGTACACCTGAGCCTGGCGAAGCCGCACCCCCACCCCCCACTACCTGGGGCTAAGGATCAGGTCTGTTAGACCCTCGGTGGACTAGGGGGTCAGAGCTGGATGAGCGTCCTTCTAGCCGCTCTAGGGGTGTCAGGGACCAGACCCTAGCAGAGCGCAGCACCCAGCTCCTTTGTCTCGCCCGCCCCCTCGTCCCCACTTCCTGCCCAGCTTCTAGCTAGCGATCTGCTTGCGGGCGAGGACTTTGTAAACACTCTGGACACTCTCTGTTTGGGTGCCGCGGAAGCGGAGTGCACGCCCCTGTCCTGGCCGTGACTGGCGGCTGTGAGCACTCCTACTGTCCCAAAACAGATGTCCAGCAGCGGGAGAGAACGTGAGGCCACCATCCGAGCTCCGGGGACTCATCTGCCAAGAGGTAGGCTTGGGGGCTGGAGAAGCCAGAACAAATGTGACCTCAGCATCTCCTGCTTTGCCTGGGATGTTACTTAGAGTCCAGATTGGAGACCCCGAGGTGGAGATAGCAGGTGGGTGGGTTCGCGCCACCCTCCCCTCGGTTTTGGCCCCAAAAGCTTAGTTCACTTTCCCTTTGAGAATGATGTTTTGACCAGAGCTGAGGGTCAGAGAAGCCCCCAAAGGTCCTTGAGCCTTCTTGAACTCGTACACGTCCTCACAGCCTCCCCTCCAGGCTAATGGGCAAGCCCAAGGATTTAGCAGCATAGATCAGCCTTAGAGTTTGGACAGCTGACCATGGCTTGAGGGGCAGTGATGTTTGAGCCCGCCAGAGCCAAGGAAGAGGGCCAAAAAATGGAACTTTACCGAAGGTCCTGGGGGTCTGATGTGTACAGGTCTCAGCCTTCTGCGTCTTCTAAGAGTAGACCAGAAGAAGTGGGCTGCTGTTGCCGGGAAGCCTTATTCATTTGCACTGGCTGAGCACCTACTGTGTGCTCGATACTGTTTCTGTATGCTGTTGACTTACTCAGCCGCTGCTGGTGTTGGTCAGGGCTCCCGCTGGGGAGGCTGGGGAGGGGTCATCTGGGTTGGGTTCTGGAGGATGGTTGTTGACCTCCAAGAGAATTAGGTGGGAAGTCTTTGAGGCACTTACTCCCCAGAGCTAGACTGAATCAACATGGTGTTATTGGGTACGGGGATATATTAGTAACTGGAAACAGCTCCTGCCTGTTCTCACTCACTTCCAGGCATAAGGAAGTGGGAATAAGCAGGAGCAATTCTGGGAAAGACAAGCTGTGGAGCCCTGAACTAAAACTGTGTGCAGCTGGAGGGTCCCCTGGGGATGGTAGGACAGGGCCACACCATACTGGACACCGACTCCCCATCCTGGACCCTGGCACTGCTTTCTCCAACAAGCCTGCCCTCTGCCCATCACCACAGCGTCCTCTGGGACTAGTCCTGGGTGGAGAAGTAGCTCTTCCCCCGCTTCCCCGCCACACTCGGCCGATGTTGGGGACATCGTGGAGTAAAGTTAGTGCTTGTAGCCACAGAGACAGGATCATTCCATCAGCCCACCAGTCTATGCTCAACCCTTGAACCCA